GCCTATGTACAATTATCTCTTTATACAAATGTTTCTGAATTTTCACATGAGCCCTATGTGATATTTTTTATTATCCCATCTTACAATAAGGACTTTTAGACACAGAATGTTAAGTAATGTTCCCAGGATGACATATATGTTACGTGGATGAGAGAAGAACAATTTTAAAAGCCAGGCCAAAAGAATAATAATAATAATTCAATTTGACACAGTAAACAAGGGGGAACCACTATTATTTCACCGGTAGATGTGGTATTTTAGGATATCTTGTGCAAAAGTGTTCAGGATGAATTTCGAAGAGATAGTTGAAGAAACCATTTCAATAATAAAACAGCCAACTGATGCATACCTGGGCTAGGATTATGGCTGTAGTGGGAATTAATCTGAAAAACACTTTGACAAAAAATTATTTTTAAGGATTGGATGAGAGAAGGGATTCAAGAAGCAGCTAAGGTTTCTGGTTTGGGTTATTTGGTCATTAACTTTTTTTTTAAAGTTCATAGTTAGGAGAATAGTCTTTAAAGCAATGTGGTACAGTATAGCGATTTGACAAAAAAAATAACTTACATGTTTTTGAATATATTGAGTTTGATATAATGATAGTGTGTGCAAGTAGCTTGGAATACTGTATGAAATTAGGGTTAATGATGCAAATTTGAGATACACACTGTGTGAGTAAGTGAGTTTTCCTAGGCAATAATTATGTAGGACAAGAAAAAAGTGTTTTTCTGAGAGATACTGAAAAGATAAATATATTGTTATTTTAAGTATTTTAAATTGCTAATGTTAGACATGCTTATTATTCCAAAGGGCAGTCTATTCAAGTTCCATGATACATACACACAAGTCCCCAGTGTGGGGGTGCTTGCTCTTCATATGTTCAAATGCTCTAAAAATATTAAATATGATTCTGAAAGTTTTCTTCCTTTTTTTTTATTTATAGAAACTACTTTGTGCTGCATTCTTCACACTCTTAATCATTAGACATGGGAATCAGAATGTTATGGGCAACATAAGTATATTGAAAGTTCTACATAAATATATTACTAATTAGCTACTTTAATAACAGCATTATTTAGACACTAAACTTCAAAGCATTGGTTCAAAGTGGTGGCAGATGATGGAGGATCTCTTACACACACACACACTGCCACCATAATAATTCTGATGGCATTGTGGACATTTAAGAATTTTCCCTAGAGGATTCCACAATGCCTCATGAGGTTAGTCCTCAAATTAAAATTTGCTACTTTGCTCAACTGAGAGTTTAGTAATAATAGCTTATTGAAGCTTAAGTGGCTTTTAAACCTTTTAGTAGTTACCCTGCCCCCCCCCCAAAAAAAAACTGTATCTGGAATCCAAATATATAAAACAGATGTCACCTTGAAAATCTCAAGACTGACTTGGCTGGGTGCAGTGGCTCACACCTGTAATTCTACCACTTTGGGAGGCTGAGGCGGGAGGATTGCTTGAGGCCAGGAACCAGCCTGGGCAACATAGGGAGACTCCCCATCTCTACAAAAAATAGGAAAAAAATTAGGCAAGTGTGGTGGTACACACCTGTGGTCCCAGCTACTTGGGAAGCTGAGGCAGGAGTATTGCTTGAAACTGGGAATTTGAGGATACAATGAGCTATGCTGATTCTACTGCACTCTATCCCAGGCAACAGAATGCGATGCTGTCTTAACAACAACAACAACAAAAAGATTTAATTAAATTAATAAGCAAGTCTGGAAAAGGAATAAAAACTATTGTTGTTGTTGTTTTTGTTTTTAGAGATGGGATCTTGCTCTGTTTCCCAGGCTGCAATGCAGTGGTACAGTCATAACTCACTGTAATCTCGAACTCCTGGGCTCAAGCAGTCCTCCCACCTTGGCCTCCCAAAGAACACTGGGATTACAGGCATGAGCCACTGCACCCAGCCTTGTAATAAAAACTTTTTATTGCAAAGTTGAATTATTACTAATTTCAGCATTCATTAATATTCCTTATTATATAAAGACTGAGATATGAAGCACTCCAAATCATAATATGGTAAACAAAACATGATAAATGTCATGTTCACTTGTTATTATACAACTGTCAACATATAATGAACAACATTGCCCAGGGTCATGATGCCTAGCATTTAATTGAGCTCTGTGCATTGTGTTGTGAGGGGATGCAGTTTTATGTGGATGTCTATACATAAGTCTGGATTCAAAACCAGACCTGTTTAGTGAGTGAAATATTTACAGTAAGCTCCTATATATTCAGAGATGACAGTAAAAGCTTTGTTCCAAGACCTATTCATTAAAAGGTTGAATCAGGCCATTCAAGTTAACATGTTAAAGCTCTGTGTGTAACAAAGGAGTATGTGTTATTTGTGTGTGTGTGTGTGTGTGAATGTGAATGATTTCTTTATATTCCAATCAAATGTTTATGGAACCTCCGAATTGTCCTTATCCCTGGTGAATTGGGATAAGGCTTGGAAAATGCAGATCTGGGCTATTAAGTTTAGCTTTTTCTTTAGTCGTTACTTTAGAATCCACAAAATAACTGAATGTGTACATGGTAATTTTATAGATCCTTTTCTTTCTGGAATCCTGTTATTAATGTTCTTGGTATTAGATACCAACTTCAAAATCTGGAGAAGGAATGTATTTCCCAAGAGTAATATAGAAATCCTCGTTAGGACATTTCTGTATTTCTTAATAACAAGCCATGCCCAAAATGTAGTTTCCCCAGTTTGACCATCAAGCTGTCAGTGCTCCAGGGACATGACTAAAAATATCCATGTGAAAGAACAGCAGTTAATAATGCTGGGAGTAAACTAGCAGGAACAATGAGAGTCAGGCAGTTCTGGGATTAGCAATTAGGTATTCGTGTGAACTCAACAGTTAAGCAGCAAAGGCCACCACTAACCCTTAAAATATAGTGATCTTTAATATTTATTTGAATAGGGAAAATTTGTGACACATACATTTTCTAGTTTTTTTTTTCTGCTAATTGTAGAGCAGCCAGGAACCTTTTAAAAGAGAGGCTGAGACAAGAATTGCTTGAGCCCAGAAGTTCAAGACCAGCCTGGGCAACATAACAAGACCTGTCTCTTAAAAAAAAAAAAAAAAAAAAAAAAAAAAAATTCTAAAATTGTGTATATGTTAAACTTTTCTCCAATGTAAGATTTTTCTAAATGTGGAAGATAATATTTTTAGAAATTGAAATGAGCCAGGTACTTTTTTGCAAATATATTTAATGTTTTGTGCTATAGTATATGTGTTTAAACTCTTGGTTTATTTAATAAGATAGAATTAATTTCTATAAAATGAAGTGGACTCTCTAGAAGTTCATTTGACTTAGAATTACCAGGTGTTCATAAAGTTTATCTTTATATAGAGAAATTAATTTGTGTTCTACGTATGACTGTATAGATACACGTACATCTGGGTATGACATCAATTCCTATTTTCTGACATATATAAGATCGTTAGGAGTAAAGGAAATAGCATTATAAAAGCAGGTATATGTCTGCTTTCTTCCTTGGTGCTTAAATATATAAATGGTTGTATTTACATGTAATTTATGTGTACAATATATGTATATTGTCATGTAAAATATATGGTAAATAGGGCCAATTTCTTTCAGTGGCTCTGAAAATTCATTGTTGCATGATAGTTCTGTGTGGTATTGGGGTTACTTGTAAATAATCTGTGTACATAACATGTCTTGTGGATTTTGCATGCTACACTAATCTCTGTTAAATCTATCCCCTCTTTATTCAGAGTATGCTGTCAAGGTCCTTTAATTCCAATTTTACTGCTGTAAGCAGTTTTCAGTATGGCAGCTCTAGGGATCTGCATGGCAGCCAAGGCAGTCTTGCCTTGAGTGTTGCAGACGGAAGAGGTTCTGGTGGGCACATTTTTCGAGTGAGTACCTACAGTAGACCAATACTTCTAGCATGTAGAGAAAAAACCCAAAATTTTAAACGTTTTAATGTTTCTAGAAAAATAATTTACTGTGGGTTAGAAACCTTAATTTCCTATGAGTTCTTCCATGGCTTAGTTCTAAAACTTTCTTCAAAGCTGATTTAGTCCTTATCTCTTAAAGTTTCTTTGGTCATAAGCAAGGGATGTAGTCAGCTTTTATATATTTATGCAAAAAGGAATGAACAGTAGGAAAAATCATCTGAGAGGTTTTTAAAAATTTTATTCTTTGCAGGATTTTTTTCTTAATATTAAAATTAGTTTGCTGTTCCTAACTCAAGATTTCAAGGCGCTATGCCATATGTAATCCAGAGCTGATATAGGGAGAAGTAATTTTAACTCCAGGTGATTGAGAATTGGCTAATAAAAAGCACTACCTGTAACTATGTTTAATCATAATTCGCTGGATATGATTAAATGTGAGGCTAAAGAAACTGTAATAAATACTAATGAAAAGGCAAACCCATGCCTGGCACGTTGGCTCACACCTATAATCCCAGCACTTTGAGTGGCTGAGGCAAGAGAATCACTTCAGGCCAAGAGTTCCAGACCAGCCTGGGCAACATGGCAAGACCTCATCTCTACAAAAAAAAAAAAAAATTAGCCAGATGTGGTGGCATGTGCATGTAGTCCCAGCTACTCAGGAGGCTGAGGCAGAAGGACTACTTGAGCCCATGAGTTAGAGACTGCAGTGAGCTATGATGATGCCACTATACTCCAGCCTGGGCAACACAGTGAGACCCTGTCTCTTTAAAAAAAAAAAAAAAAAGGCAAAACCCAAATCCTTTATTACCCACATTTTACCGTAGTCCTTAGTAGTAAAGAAGAAAGGTTTGTTATTTTAATGAAAGTTAAGTGTAGAGGATAGAAAGGCAGAAAAAGAGAAAGAACAACTCAGGCCTGGCTCTGTTTCAAGATTTTTCTCTCTGTAACAATTTGAGGTGGTAGCATAGCCTCTTGACAGATACTTCTTCTGTCCCTCTCCTTCCAACTTGTAAGGATGTTTCCCCCTTACAACCCTATTTTATCCCCTCCCCAAAGTTTCCATGTTAACTCTTCACTTAGTTCTGGGTCCTTTACTTTTTCCTGGTTATAACCACTTTCCCCTATTTTTATACATCCCTGGATTTTCTCTGTTGTGTTCTAGAGTAGGAACAGTTTCCTGGATTCACTTTGCTCTGGCTACACCTGATGTAGCCTTACCCTGTCCTCTTGTCACCTACCACCATATGGTTTCTATGCTGTTATAGTGGAAGCAGTCATTTCTCAGTTTAAAGAGGGAGAGAAAAAGGTGGTAAATTTAATCCCTCATTTAAACAGAGTACATGTGGTAAAGACCAGTGTCTTTTATTATATTAACTCCAGGGGGAGTTTTTGCCATTTATAATCATCTGAAACAATTACTCTTTCTAAATTCTTTTACAGTAACATTTTGTGCTTGTTTTTCTTAAATTCAGAGCCTTTGAGTCCATTGAATTTTACTTTTTCACGCATAATATGCTTGTTATTTTCAAAAGTAGATAAGCATAGTTGTATATTCCAGGCTTGAATTTAAATTTCAGGCTGTGAGCTAAATTGATTAATATGTGTTTTAAAAGCTCATCTCAAAAAGGGAGAAGGAAAATAAAGTATTCATTGCGTAAATACACAAAGTTAGATCAAACCATAACCAAAAATTCTAAGCCATGGTTTGAACTAGCAACTAACTGCATGTAATAGATCTGTTGCAGACATAGTTTCTAAAATTAATTATAAATCCTTAAGTTTATAAGTATCTTGTAATATATCATAACAAAGTAGATTTTAGGTTGTTTTTATAAGACTAGAAGTTTATTGATACTGCTCATCATTAAAATTTAGGGGGAAAAAATCCTGTGTGGTACTATGGCTATTAAAAAAACAACAATTTTTTTACCAAAAATCTCTTTATAATACTCAACAGGAGTATATTTTAATTGGTCCTAAAATTTGAGACTCTGATTAATAACTAAATTTATTGTTAAAACGTGTTAAAAGCCAGGTATTACTATAAAACTAAAAGGAAAAAACATGTTGGCCAGGCAATGGCTCACGCCTGTAATCCTAGCACTCTCAGGCGGGCTGAGGTGGGAGGATCCCTTGAGCCCAGGAGTTTGAGGTTGCGGTAAGCTATGATGATGCCACTGCACTCTACCCTGGGCGACAGGGCAAGACTCTGTCTCCAAAAAAAAAACAAAAAAAGAACACGTAGTTTGTCTTCTACATCTGTGCATTATAAAGAAATAGATTAACAGTATCTATCCATGTAAACTTTTCACACAAGAACAAACATCTTACTATGTACCTTTGGAAGAAGAATATTAATTGATGGCGGTGATGATGGTAATGTTTGATTTGGGTCTTCCATCTTTTCACTATCTAGTAATATTTTTCCTAGCCTTCTCTCCAGTATCATCATCGTTTTGGTTTCACATCTTAAAGAGCATTATTTGTTTACTTTTTATTTTCCCCTCATTTGAAGCATTCCCAGACATCCAGTCCAGGAGATCCTGGCCAAGATGATATATTCATTTCAGGACAGCAGAACTACTCGTCAGCTACACTTAGTAACAAAGATGTTCCTCCAGACAGCTTGATGAAAGTAGGTGCTGAGGAAATAAATGAAGTAGTATCTGTGAGCTTACTATGTTTTGCAGCTTTTGAATTAGAAGTATCATATGTGCTTTAACTGAAAATACTCTTTGAGGGCTTCTTCCCTTTATTAGTAAGGATTTCTTAAAAATCAGAAATACAAAATACAAAATAGAATTTGACTTTGTCTTCTATTTCTTAATTTATTCCATGATTTTTCCACACTGCAGAATCATTTTGTTGCATTTGCATTTCTATAGTACCACCTACTTACTTTGTCATTTGAATCAAGGGCTATTTGACATTCCTAATAGTAAACCTATTTGGAGAGTTGAAGATGAACTTGGTTTTAAATTCTTCATCCTAGGATCTTTTACTGTTACTAAAATCATTTTTAAAATACTTCAAATGTAATTAGAAATCATCTTGAAAGATGGTAGAATAGATGATGGCTGTATTCTTAGTACTTTCATAGCAAAAATGTGTCAGTCATGTAGAAATAGATTATCTAGGCAGTGGCTCATACCTGTAATCCTAGCACTCTGGGAAGCCGAGGCAGGAGAATCGCTTGAGCTCAGGAGTTCAAGACCAGCCTGGGCAACATAACAAGACCTGTCTCTTAAAAAAAAAAAAAAAAAAAAAAAAAAAAAATTCTAAAATTGTGTATATGTTAAACTTTTCTCCAATGTAAGATTTTTCTAAATGTGGAAGATAATATTTTTAGAAATTGAAATGAGCCAGGTACTTTTTTGCAAATATATTTAATGTTTTGTGCTATAGTATATGTGTTTAAACTCTTGGTTTATTTAATAAGATAGAATTAATTTCTATAAAATGAAGTGGACTCTCTAGAAGTTCATTTGACTTAGAATTACCAGGTGTTCATAAAGTTTATCTTTATATAGAGAAATTAATTTGTGTTCTACGTATGACTGTATAGATACACGTACATCTGGGTATGACATCAATTCCTATTTTCTGACATATATAAGATCGTTAGGAGTAAAGGAAATAGCATTATAAAAGCAGGTATATGTCTGCTTTCTTCCTTGGTGCTTAAATATATAAATGGTTGTATTTACATGTAATTTATGTGTACAATATATGTATATTGTCATGTAAAATATATGGTAAATAGGGCCAATTTCTTTCAGTGGCTCTGAAAATTCATTGTTGCATGATAGTTCTGTGTGGTATTGGGGTTACTTGTAAATAATCTGTGTACATAACATGTCTTGTGGATTTTGCATGCTACACTAATCTCTGTTAAATCTATCCCCTCTTTATTCAGAGTATGCTGTCAAGGTCCTTTAATTCCAATTTTACTGCTGTAAGCAGTTTTCAGTATGGCAGCTCTAGGGATCTGCATGGCAGCCAAGGCAGTCTTGCCTTGAGTGTTGCAGACGGAAGAGGTTCTGGTGGGCACATTTTTCGAGTGAGTACCTACAGTAGACCAATACTTCTAGCATGTAGAGAAAAAACCCAAAATTTTAAACGTTTTAATGTTTCTAGAAAAATAATTTACTGTGGGTTAGAAACCTTAATTTCCTATGAGTTCTTCCATGGCTTAGTTCTAAAACTTTCTTCAAAGCTGATTTAGTCCTTATCTCTTAAAGTTTCTTTGGTCATAAGCAAGGGATGTAGTCAGCTTTTATATATTTATGCAAAAAGGAATGAACAGTAGGAAAAATCATCTGAGAGGTTTTTAAAAATTTTATTCTTTGCAGGATTTTTTTCTTAATATTAAAATTAGTTTGCTGTTCCTAACTCAAGATTTCAAGGCGCTATGCCATATGTAATCCAGAGCTGATATAGGGAGAAGTAATTTTAACTCCAGGTGATTGAGAATTGGCTAATAAAAAGCACTACCTGTAACTATGTTTAATCATAATTCGCTGGATATGATTAAATGTGAGGCTAAAGAAACTGTAATAAATACTAATGAAAAGGCAAACCCATGCCTGGCACGTTGGCTCACACCTATAATCCCAGCACTTTGAGTGGCTGAGGCAAGAGAATCACTTCAGGCCAAGAGTTCCAGACCAGCCTGGGCAACATGGCAAGACCTCATCTCTACAAAAAAAAAAAAAAATTAGCCAGATGTGGTGGCATGTGCATGTAGTCCCAGCTACTCAGGAGGCTGAGGCAGAAGGACTACTTGAGCCCATGAGTTAGAGACTGCAGTGAGCTATGATGATGCCACTATACTCCAGCCTGGGCAACACAGTGAGACCCTGTCTCTTTAAAAAAAAAAAAAAAAAGGCAAAACCCAAATCCTTTATTACCCACATTTTACCGTAGTCCTTAGTAGTAAAGAAGAAAGGTTTGTTATTTTAATGAAAGTTAAGTGTAGAGGATAGAAAGGCAGAAAAAGAGAAAGAACAACTCAGGCCTGGCTCTGTTTCAAGATTTTTCTCTCTGTAACAATTTGAGGTGGTAGCATAGCCTCTTGACAGATACTTCTTCTGTCCCTCTCCTTCCAACTTGTAAGGATGTTTCCCCCTTACAACCCTATTTTATCCCCTCCCCAAAGTTTCCATGTTAACTCTTCACTTAGTTCTGGGTCCTTTACTTTTTCCTGGTTATAACCACCTTCCCCTATTTTTATACATCCCTGGATTTTCTCTGTTGTGTTCTAGAGTAGGAACAGTTTCCTGGATTCACTTTGCTCTGGCTACACCTGATGTAGCCTTACCCTGTCCTCTTGTCACCTACCACCATATGGTTTCTATGCTGTTATAGTGGAAGCAGTCATTTCTCAGTTTAAAGAGGGAGAGAAAAAGGTGGTAAATTTAATCCCTCATTTAAACAGAGTACATGTGGTAAAGACCAGTGTCTTTTATTATATTAACTCCAGGGGGAGTTTTTGCCATTTATAATCATCTGAAACAATTACTCTTTCTAAATTCTTTTACAGTAACATTTTGTGCTTGTTTTTCTTAAATTCAGAGCCTTTGAGTCCATTGAATTTTACTTTTTCACGCATAATATGCTTGTTATTTTCAAAAGTAGATAAGCATAGTTGTATATTCCAGGCTTGAATTTAAATTTCAGGCTGTGAGCTAAATTGATTAATATGTGTTTTAAAAGCTCATCTCAAAAAGGGAGAAGGAAAATAAAGTATTCATTGCGTAAATACACAAAGTTAGATCAAACCATAACCAAAAATTCTAAGCCATGGTTTGAACTAGCAACTAACTGCATGTAATAGATCTGTTGCAGACATAGTTTCTAAAATTAATTATAAATCCTTAAGTTTATAAGTATCTTGTAATATATCATAACAAAGTAGATTTTAGGTTGTTTTTATAAGACTAGAAGTTTATTGATACTGCTCATCATTAAAATTTAGGGGGAAAAAATCCTGTGTGGTACTATGGCTATTAAAAAAACAACAATTTTTTTACCAAAAATCTCTTTATAATACTCAACAGGAGTATATTTTAATTGGTCCTAAAATTTGAGACTCTGATTAATAACTAAATTTATTGTTAAAACGTGTTAAAAGCCAGGTATTACTATAAAACTAAAAGGAAAAAACATGTTGGCCAGGCAATGGCTCACGCCTGTAATCCTAGCACTCTCAGGCGGGCTGAGGTGGGAGGATCCCTTGAGCCCAGGAGTTTGAGGTTGCGGTAAGCTATGATGATGCCACTGCACTCTACCCTGGGCGACAGGGCAAGACTCTGTCTCCAAAAAAAAAACAAAAAAAGAACACGTAGTTTGTCTTCTACATCTGTGCATTATAAAGAAATAGATTAACAGTATCTATCCATGTAAACTTTTCACACAAGAACAAACATCTTACTATGTACCTTTGGAAGAAGAATATTAATTGATGGCGGTGATGATGGTAATGTTTGATTTGGGTCTTCCATCTTTTCACTATCTAGTAATATTTTTCCTAGCCTTCTCTCCAGTATCATCATCGTTTTGGTTTCACATCTTAAAGAGCATTATTTGTTTACTTTTTATTTTCCCCTCATTTGAAGCATTCCCAGACATCCAGTCCAGGAGATCCTGGCCAAGATGATATATTCATTTCAGGACAGCAGAACTACTCGTCAGCTACACTTAGTAACAAAGATGTTCCTCCAGACAGCTTGATGAAAGTAGGTGCTGAGGAAATAAATGAAGTAGTATCTGTGAGCTTACTATGTTTTGCAGCTTTTGAATTAGAAGTATCATATGTGCTTTAACTGAAAATACTCTTTGAGGGCTTCTTCCCTTTATTAGTAAGGATTTCTTAAAAATCAGAAATACAAAATACAAAATAGAATTTGACTTTGTCTTCTATTTCTTAATTTATTCCATGATTTTTCCACACTGCAGAATCATTTTGTTGCATTTGCATTTCTATAGTACCACCTACTTACTTTGTCATTTGAATCAAGGGCTATTTGACATTCCTAATAGTAAACCTATTTGGAGAGTTGAAGATGAACTTGGTTTTAAATTCTTCATCCTAGGATCTTTTACTGTTACTAAAATCATTTTTAAAATACTTCAAATGTAATTAGAAATCATCTTGAAAGATGGTAGAATAGATGATGGCTGTATTCTTAGTACTTTCATAGCAAAAATGTGTCAGTCATGTAGAAATAGATTATCTAGGCAGTGGCTCATACCTGTAATCCTAGCACTCTGGGAAGCCGAGGCAGGAGAATCGCTTGAGCTCAGGAGTTCAAGACCAGCCTGAGCAAGAGTGAGACCCCCCCCCCAATCTCTACTAAAAATAGAGAAAATTGGCTGGGCATGGTGGCACGGGCCTATAGTCCCAGCTACTCGGGAGGCTGGGGCAGGAGGATCGCTTGAACCCAGGAGTTTGAGGTTGTGGTGAGCTAGGCTGGACTCTATCTCCAAAAAAAAAAAGAAAAGAAATAAAGATTGTCTATGGCCACTGCCAGACAGATAAGTCTTTACTATTCTCCCTCAAGCTATTCCTTCTCATTTTCTTAACTAATTTCGTGCCTCTAGTATAATCAGATATGATTGTGAAGCATAGTTATTTATTATATAAAACTTTTACATTGCTCTTGAAAGTAGACACCCAGCCATCTAATATGTAAATTCATATATATATCTATTTATTTTACCCTTTTTTCTTTTAATTAAGCTCTGTCATCCAGTTTCCTTTTTTTTTTATTTTACACTTTATGGTTTAGGTTACTGAGTTTGTTTTGAGCTTCTTAATCTCCTGAGCCATCTGCTATCATAGCTTAATATATTCCATGTGTATCTTTAACATTGATGTAGGCAAGACCAAATATCCACATGTCAGGGAGTCTTAAGAAAAGGTCAGTAGTAATTGTCATCTGGATTTTCCCCTGGAGAGAAAGATCCTGAATCTGCACATAGGAATAAATGGTATAAACATAGAGAAAAGCAAGGGCGATCTACAGAATTGTGCATAAGTTATAAAGCAATAGCACAACCAGTTAATTGCTCCTGGGCAGAGCAATTGCATTAAATCTACAGGGATCAAGTAATAAACAACCACGATGGGGTTTTTTCCTCCAAAAATATACAGATAATATAGTGCCTCATTTCTCTTCTCCTCCACGAATACAAGGGTTGTCGTAGAGTAATATCATCCTTGTGTCCTATCACAGAATACCCGTGTGTGTTCCCAGACTTCAGAACTAAGTTCTCAAGTGTAACACAGTGTAACAGTAAAAAAGAGTACCTTTTTTAAAAAGTACAAATCTTCACCAAAGCTAAACTTCTTTGTATCTTTCAGCAAGGTTCACATAAGAAGAGCATACAGTTCTGAAACTGTTGCAATGTCTTTCTCTAAACTTTTCTACTTTTGGATAATTTTAGGAAAATGGAACTCAACAGTTTTTTTCCCATAATTTCATTGTGGATGAGGTTACCTTTCTGTTAGTAACTAATAGGGAAGTTTTAAATGTTTGAAAAGGGTAAAGATATTTTTTTCTACACAAAAATCTTTATATGCAAATATTTGTAGTATGATTTGTTTTTAAGATAGATTCCTCACACTAACAGAATAAGCTATTAGCCACATTTCTACAAAGGTGATTTTAAGTCAGGTTCAATCTCTTAAAATGAGAGGCATTAAAATAAAGTTCCTTAACAACAAACTAATAATCTCAAAATTTTTGTTTAACTTATGAAGAATAAAGTAGAATGTTAACATTTTAATTTAGTGGTTAATATTCTATGAGAGTTTATATTCTCTAATATTCTTAGTTTAAAAATTAACATAGATGCACACACAGAAGTAATAAATCAGTTACTACATAGATAGTTGAATTGGCTTGTTAATTCAGGAAAGAAAGGAATAAAGATATAAAAACATTCAAATTTGGAAAAAATTATACCACAAAATTACATTTTTCCTGAAGAAAAACATCGACAAATGTACCTGATGTATGTATATGTGAGCATGTATAGTATGGGGAAAGATATGCTTGTAACAGGCTTGCTTAAATTTTAGAATCTTGACAGTATTTGCCATTTTAACAGTTGGTTTGCTGTAACAAAGATAGGTGCATCTAACAAAAGACAGATATATCTAACAGAAAAGCAAATAATTTAAAGTGTAGATATGATACACTTTCATTTGAAAGCTTAAAAGAGTGAATCGATCAGCAAGCACTCAGGCAAGTTTAGAATTAAGACATTAATAGTTTTTTAAGGTTTAAAATTAGAAAAAGTGGCATGGTATTGTGTGGTTTATTAGAATGTAAATACTCTCATGCTCTTGTAATGCTTCAAGAAGAAATCCAAATATTTGTAATAAGACATTATTATTGGTCATTTTAAGATACTTCATGTTTTTCTTAGATGCCTTTGAGTAATGGACAGATGGGCCAGCCTCTCAGGCCTCAGGCAAATTATAGTCACACACATCACCCCCCTCAGGCATCTGTGGCAAGGCATCCCTCTAGAGAACAACTAATTGATTACTTGATGCTGAAAGTGGCCCACCAGCCTCCATATACACAGCCCCATTGTTCTCCTAGACAAGGCCATGAACTGGCAAAGCAAGAGGTAAGAATAATCAAGACTGTTTGAAATATGAGACTAAGCTTCTTATGTATTTTCATAGGTTATTTATTACCAGTAAATTCATATAGAATTTTAACGTAGTTTTTACCATTTTGTTTAAAGTTTTAGTTTTATGTTAAGTTTATAAAGCATAAAGTTGGTAGTTTTAATTTGACTTTATGATTGTATGATATAGGATTTAGTATTTTTGCCATGATTTTTTTTTAATTCTAAGGAGGTTGCTTTCCCAAAACTGGTTGATACTCCAGTAATCAGACATCCTTCAGGAATAGAAATAGTAGACCATTCAGCTGAAATGGCATATTGTTCTGTAACACCTAAAATCTTAATTCCTTAGATTTTGAAATTTGACTATAGATTCCAAACCACATTGAGTATTTGATCTTAAAAAGAACTTAAAGTCATGAGCCATACATTCACATATCATGATAGTTTATTGATAAATGATCAATAAATTAGAAACTTAGGTGGAGATCAAATGTTTTATTCATTTTGGTTGAATCTCTGGTGAAAGGGAATGTTTTGTAACAGAAGTTTAATTCTTGCATCTTTTTTGCTTAGTTATAAAAACTACTATCGGTCATATTTTAAAATCCCAACTCCTTTGAAACATTCACTTTGACACATTCAGGAAATGAAGAGTTAATATCACAAAACCACCAGTGGATCTTTAGATATCTTATGAAACAAGCCAGTAGACAGAGATACTATTGTAATTTAGATGTTACACAAGTGGAAACTGATAATAATGCACATTTTGTGTTTATGCATTGTCATTAAAATCCATGTCTAAAAAGTAAAATAGTTTTAGGTTAACATTAATTGATTACCTATCCTCATAAGACAAGCAATAAAATTAGGAGCTATGCTTTATAATCCCAGCTGTGTCTTTAACTAACTAACTCATTAACATAATATTCTATGTTGTATTTTCACTTCATCTGACCAAATGTTTATTTTTGATGAATCCTTAACTCACCAATATTTAAATGTGGATTTTGTCATGTTATAACTTTTTCTGAAATAGTAATAATAGTTCCCTTTATTTTCATACTAACTCAGATTCGTGTGAGAATTGAAAAGGATCCAGAACTTGGATTTAGCATATCAGGAGGTGTTGGAGGTAGAGGAAATCCTTTCAGACCTGATGATGATGTAAGTTTTGTTTATATGTCCTTGAAACACCCATAAAATTTTATTCACTAATTTAATACCTCTTATATGTAAGTGAAAATCTAATAGATATTTGTGTAACTCTACGTAGACATCACTTTTATTCCCCTCTGTATTGTTTAGCTTTTCATTTGAAATTCGATCATTCAAGTTAATTGCTTAAGGGAAAAACTTTAACCAAAAATTTTGAGTGTTTATGATATTATCAAGTGATTTTTAATTTTCATATTACTTTTCTCAACATCTATAGAAGTAATTTCATCACTAAAGTCAGAATTAGTAGAGGGAAAAATAACTTTGATTTGTCATAGTATTACTCAGAGAAGTCAGGGAGAAACTTGTACCATGAGTCAAATATTTGCATGATGTGGAAGAAAGATTTCTCCATGCATCCGGTCTTTGGTTAAATAGTTATCTTTTTTGTTGTTATTAAAGGGTATATTTGTAACAAGGGTACAGCCTGAAGGACCAGCGTCAAAATTACTGCAGCCAGGTGATAAAATTATTCAGGTAATTAAGATGAATCTTTTTATTATTTTCTTTCATTTTATAACATTCCTCTAGGGTTTTTATAGTTTGAAATATTTCTAATTTATACTTGAAAATCATTCCTCTATGTTTGATATAGCTTTTGTTTAAGTTCAGGAAGGGGGATCAGAGTACTCCTTTTTGGGAGTGGGCTTTCATATCAAAAATAGAGAAGAAAATTTCAAAATCTGAAAAGTCCTTTTTATTTTCCTATGTCCCCCTTTTCTCTGTTCCTTCAGCTTCCTAAACACTTGCAGTGTAGCTCTGTCTTAGAAGGAAGACGAACCTAAGACACAAGTACAGCTCTCCTTCTCTACCCCTACTTTCACTGTTGTCAGTTCAGAAATTAATCTCTTAACATTCAGAAATTAATCTCTCTTTTTTATGACAGCCTACCATTGAAAAGAAGTTAATCTTTAAAAAGTAAATAACTCTAATCATATAGACATTAGCATTTAGTAGCAAAAGTACAGACTCTGAAGCCATATTGCCTGAGTTTGAATCCTGGCTCCAACACTTTTCTAAAATATAATTTAAAACATTTTTTTTTAATTTTTAAATAATTTCAAGCTTAGAGAAAGCTGCAAAAATAATACAGCAAACATCTGTATATACTTCATTTGATCACCAGTTGCTCATATTTTGCCACATTGTCTTTAGCATTCATCCTCCTCTTTTCCCTTCCACCCTCCTCCCTCTCTCTCCATACACATTCACTCACTCATAAACTCATACACATTTATTTTTCTGAACCATTTGGGAATCTATGGTTTTGATTTTGTGACTGAGGAAGTTACTTTACCTCTCCATGCCTGGGTTTTCTCTTCTCTAAAATAGGACGATGAAAGAATCTTCTTTGAGTGTCGTTAAGAGAATCATAGTATTTAATTCATTTGATGTGTATAGAACAGTGTGTCTTGTACACATTAAGACCTCAATAAATATTAGCCCACTCTGGGAGGCCGAGGCGGGCGGATTGTTTGAGCTCAGGAGTTCGAAACCAGCCTAAGCAAGAGCGAGACCCCGTCTCTACTAAAAAAAAATAGAAAGAAATTAATCGGACAACTAAAAATATATAGAAAAAATTAGCTGGGCATGGTGGCACATGCCTGTAGTCCCAGCTACTCGGGAGGCTGAGGCAGGAGGATCGCTTGAGCCCAGGAGTTTGAGGTTGCTGTGAGCTACGATGACGCCACGGCACTCTAGCCCGGGCAACACAGCGAGACTGTGTCTCAAAAAAAATAAATAAATAAAAATTAAAAAAATAAATAAATATTAGCCTTAATTATAGGAAGGTGGTCTTGATCTGATGGCTCCCAGGCTTTGGGAAGACTAGGCCTTGTCCCCTGCTATCCCTGCAGTTTGTTCCCCTCAGATACATATTAGCACGTACATACACATCACCATGTCTGACATTGTATCTTAAGCAAGTGGTTCCTAACATTGGGCCACTACATGAGAATTGTCTGAAAACTTGGACAAAATACAGATTCCTGGACCCCATCTTCAGAGATTTTAGAAGTATAGAATAGGGAGTCTATATGTTGTTTTAAATTCCCAAAGTGATTCTTATTTGCTTCAGGTTTGTGAACTACCTGGCAGAAATTTAAGTGCAGAAATGCAAATAAATTACTGTAAAATGTTTTTCCTAAAAGCATTTTTCCTCTTTCTTCTAGGCTAATGGCTACAGTTTTATCAATATTGAACATGGACAAGCAGTGTCCTTGCTAAAAACTTTCCAGAATACAGTAGAACTCATCATTGTACGAGAAGTTTCCTCATAAGCACTGTGGACAAAAAAGGGGGAAAGACAGCGAGATTTATTGGAAGATACTTGCAGGGGAAATTAATATTTTGACTATTTTTATATATAAAGAACTCAAAAAATTATGTTCACATTTGTACATTAATGAAGTAATGGAACTTGTGGTTAGAGGGAAAGAACCACTGTACAGAATATAAAGGAGACTGTTGAATTCATACCGTATAAAACTTGTTAGGTTTTTAAACATAGCAATCAAGGCTACAGAAACAAACCTATGTTGTTTTTGTATAGATTGTAGGTTTATTTTTGGATTTCATACATATAACTGAACTGTGTGCAAGGCAATAGTTAGCCTTGATTTTAGCCCAGAGACAGATGGCAGAGCTATCTATCTCATAGCTTTTATGCCTTTATTTTTATTCAACTGGTATTAATGTTTTTCTCCTGAAACTACTTTTTTTTGACGTGGGCAAGAGATTTGAAGTGTTGGCTTTTGCTATGTGCATATTGAATTGAAGAGTGAGTAGGTGAAGGTGGTGCTGGTGGGTTCACTTTCCAAGGCCAGATTAAAACAGTTATTTCCTATAAAAATCTGGAAGCAAAGAATGAAAAAAATGTGTTTTTTATTAATAGAATCATGCAATAAAATACATAATATCTTTTTAAAGAAGTAGAAAAGACAATAATTGCATTTTATGAGCTCTACAGGATCTGTTCTTGTCATAGCCATGGACTATACATTTGCTACTGGTGATTCAGTTTTTAATTTTTTAGTCACAGGAAATTTTTAACTCTACTGTAGATGCATGTTCATGCATTTTTTGTGCTATGGAAATCCCCTGGGTTTTTTTATTTTTTGCAAATGGTGGTACTTGCAATCTGTTTTATAATTAGCGTTCCATTTTAATCTAATTTATAATTTTTATTTTAAGCAGCAAATCAAACTAAAATGGCCAGTTTTAACATTGTGTTACCTGTAACACAAAATGTTAAGAAGGTTTAGGAAAGCCTCTTGATTTTTGTTTGGCCTTGCATTGCCTTGGTAAAGTAAAAGGAAACAGTGTGTGCATGGAGCTAAGAAACCAAAGCGAGTTTGTGAAGCTGGCACAGTGACAGAGAATTGCTGTGGAGAGTTGTAGAGCAAAGGGGTAGGTCCTTGAGGCCTACCAGTATGTAAAGTTGTTCAATAAAGGGCTGTTCCTACAGGTAACATTAAATGTGAACTCAACACTTCGGAGTCTTTAAAGGGTTTCTAAGTGTATCAGTGTAATAGTGTTTTACCACCAACTGCCTTTGTTCCCAGTTACTGTAACAAATATGTGATATCTGATAGAGGTTTGTTAATTTTGTTTATCCAAACCATTAATTTTATTTGTTTTTGTTCTATGTAATCAAATAAAATTTGAGTAACATGCAATGGTAAGAATTAATGCATGGTTATTTGGACCAGAAAAAAGTGCCATAGAAGATCAATGACTGTTGTTAGTTGAGGCTTGTCTGGAACCTTTCATTAGAGCAATATTCAGTTATTGCAATTCATTTTTAATTACTAAGAAATGTAATTTGGAAATTTTTAATCTGTTACGCCTTGTTCTTCAACCTGGATTTAATTAAGACTTTTATAGGACTAACTAAAACACCAACCTACATTTATTTTTGCAAAAGTGAATTGGACTCACTTTCCATTCTTGCTAGTCAGAGTAAATGGACAGCACTTTTAAATATGTGAACTCAAATATTGCACTTCTTTCAAGATGTTATCAGTTGGTTATTGTACTGTATAGTTTTAATAATTTTGATTGAAACCCTTTAATAACTCTTTGTAAATTTTAACTCATTTTAGTTGATTTTCCGTACTATTTACATAGGAATTGATTTTTATGGATATAGTAGAAGAAATGTGCTGTATTTTGATAAAATTCACTTATTGTATGTGTGTTGTAATCTCTAAAGAAAAGAATGACAAACAGCTTCTTTAAGACAAGTCTTGGTGTTCCCTTTATTCTTAATTTATTTTAAAATATTAACTTGGCATTGTAAAATAGTCACATTCTCTTTTTATTAATTTCAAATTTTCACCATCACATTCTACTTTTAATCAGGAATACATAAAATAGGCATAATTGTGGAGTTTTCAACTACTTTACCTTGAACCAGATACATAGATACAATTTTGGAAGAGGAATTAAGCCCCACAGAATAATGCATTCATCAATGATTAAACATTAAGTTCATTGAATATTATATTGAAATATTACAAGTGCAGCAAATGTAAAATGCACTATTGTATTCTTTAGTTGATTAAAATTTTGTAATGTTCTTGCAACACAAAAAGTTGAGTAAGAAAGTTTGTTACCAAAAGGAATATTACATGATAATATATTAATAACCAAAACACAAAAAAGCTTACACTTAATAGCCAAAGTTTTCTTCCAAAATATTGGAAAATTAAAATTAAATGACAGGACTCTTCATTAGAATTTTTATTATGGTAATAATAAAGTTTCAAAATCTGAATAGAAGAGTAATAATTTAAATCTTTTGAGGAAGCTGAGAAGACATTTTTAGTTTATATTACTGTTGAATGAATTGTAGTTAAGGCCTATACCCATAGCTGATTTTATTTTAATAAGTATTATGTAACAAATAATCAAAACTAGAACTGCCTTTTTTTAGTAACTGTTTAAAATTTCTTACCCTAGCTAACTAGTAAAGATTTATGCCAGTAAATAGGATATGATCAGAGGAATTTATTCAGTTTGCTGTTGTTGACACAGTCTAAAGTTTTACACCGTTTCATTAAGGAATCTTCATCTGAATCAAACAAATTCTAAAATTCCTTACATATTTATTTTGTAAATATTTTTCTGACCTTTTTGGACTAGACTTGAAGATGTACATACACTTGAAAAATTCTTTTAAACACAAACGTTGCCATAAACAGAACTAAACTTTTAAGTATTAATTTGCTGTGCTTAAAAATCTCCCAGTCTCAGCCATGTAATATTTTTTTCAATCAGCATTTATTCAACATTCCAAATTTTTGTATGTATCTAGATGGCTTGAATTAACACATAGAGTATAGATAATAAACTAATGTTATTTAAAGTTGCGTGGTTTAATTTATGAAATTCAGGGTTAGAGGAATTCTCATGAAAAGAAAGCATACAACTTTTTTTTGTCTTTTGAGCATTAAAACCCTTTATGTCTGGGTATGGAAAAAGGAAGAAATGTAGTTTATTTCAAATTTTATTTTGTTTTTAATTTTTTTTTTTTTTTTTTTTTGAGATAGAGTCTCCCTTTGTTGCCTGGGCTAGGGCGAGTTGCCTTCGCGTCAGCCTAGCTCACAGCAACCTCAAACTCCTGGGCTCAAGTGATCCTCCTGCCTCAGCCTCCCAGGTAGCTGGGACTACAGGCGTGAGCCACCACGCCTGCTAATTTTTTGTTTCTATTTTTAGTTGACTGGCTAATTTTTTTTTTGTATTTTTAGTAGAGATGGGGTCTCACTCTTGCTCAGGCTGGTCTCAAACTCTTTACCTCAAACAATCCTCCCGCCTTGGCCTCCCAAGAGTGCTGGGATTACAAGCGTGAGCCACCGTGCCCGGCCTATTTTATATTTTTTAGAGACAGGGTCTCTATGTTGCCCAGGCTGGTCTCAAACTCCTGGTCTCAAGTGATCCGCTTTGGCCTCCCAAAGTGCTGATATGATACTACAGGCGTGTAAGCCACCATGCCCGGCCTGCTTTTTTCACTTCTAAAGGACGCCACTAAGATGAGAAATGCTTTTCAGGTGGAGATTGGCAATAAATCAAATCTATTTGGGAAGGGTATTTTTTTAATTCATTCTGTTGCATTCTTATTAATATAGTCTTTTAATGTTTAGTACATAGGTTTCTTTGAAAAAGACATTGAAATTAAAATGTAGGATTCATCAAGAGCATTAATGAACAACCTTTGGAAAAGTTTGGCCATCTTATAGCTCTAAAGTTGCTAATCTTTACAAAATTTATAAACCTGGAGGACAGTAAGCATAGTCATTGAGTTTTGGAAAATTGTTAGGAGAATGCTATATTCTTTCTAAGACTATGTAGTCTCTTCATGAGGCAATTTTCAAGATTAAAATTTATGGTCTCCAACAGTGTACAGTCCTAACTTCCAAGCACCTGAGAAGCCCATTCTAAGCTGAGAAAACGTATTTTAGAAAAAAATGCCCGAAATGTTTTTTTTTAAAAGAATAAGCTAGGTTTTATTGTAAAGAGCAATCAAGATGCTCCTGAATACACCTGAACCTTTCTATAGGCTAGTTAGGAAAGAGGCTGAAAAAAAGGATCCTTCTGTTAGAATTTTCTTTTCAAATATAACAAGTAGGGACACTGGTGATCTTCCATGGGACAACATGTGGCCCCACAATTTAATTCCAGGATTAAATTTGAGAAGCTTATGTATCACTGATAAAGGAAGAAATCTAAGCTGTGAAATTACGTTTTTCCCCTCAAGGGATTCAGTAAAGCTATTTCATTTTTCTTGAATATAAGTCTATAAACATTTTTCTGGAACTGACCCTCCTTAGATCTAACTTCAAGACATAGCTTTGGAAGGATCTGTTTTCATTTGCTCTTTTTCGTAACTTTTCCTTGTCAGAAAACCTAAAGAAAAATAAAGTAAGCTAATAAAAATTGGAAAAAAATTAATGCGTAAGCAGAGCATGGGTTTTAGGATGGATGGGTGTTAAGTCTCCTCATCTTCATGAAAGAACAAAACTAATACTCTGAGAACTAATGCCTGTCCAAAATAGATACTAAATTAATCTTTCACATTTGAATCATCCTTCACTATAGCATCCCTCAAAGGAACATTCATTCTCCCAAGAGTAGGAAAAATCATTTGCAGACTTGACTGCCACAAAGGAAATTGTTCAAGGAGGAACACTGGAGCATGCTTTAAGTTCCCCTTCCTATCCACATACCTAGAAAGGACAAAGAGGATTATTAATACAATGATAGGTAAAAGTATTATTTAATAAGCTCAACAGCTTTGGAAAACAAGAAGGGAGTGCACTGGATTGATAAATTTTGAGGAATTCTTTGAAGGCCTAAGGCAGATAGGGCCAGAGAATTCTACCATAAAAGGTGGATTTGGCTTCAGGATACCTCAAAGGTGGAGACAGGTTAAAGGATCAAGAATGGTTTGAATATTGCATCATAAGAAATTTGTTAGGTCAACCACCTTTTTATGCCAAGCAGTGCTCATAAGGGGCATCTGGTTCGAGGCAAGAGCAATGAGTGGCTACTTGGATTAAGAAGGAAAACCAGTGCAGCTCTTTTGAGTTATTATGGTCTGCCCAGTTGCATGTCCTGCTGTTGGCCCACCATTAGTGCAGACAATTTGCAAGTAACAGACAGACTCATAGTAAGATCAAAACAACAAAACAGGAACGTTTGAAAATAGCACCATGAAGAGAGCCACCAAACAGAAGCATCAATGTCTAAAGAAATCAATAGTTAAAACTGTATCTTCTGAGGGATAAATGAGGATATTGAATTTATAAAACAAGCTGTTACGAAAAGGCTTAAATATCTTTGTAACATAGAATAATATTGTCAAATTCAACAGCTGGGCTGGAGGGTAGGAAGGAAACATGTCAAGGGCAAATCAAAAGCTCTTTAAGTTTAGATTCCATAGAATGTAATGCAAATGAAAAGTACGCAATGAGACATGAAAGAGAAGTCCGCATGTTTCAACATGAGTCCTCCCTTTGAAGGACTGTGGAAACAGAACGAAGCACGGAAAATACTCAAGAAAATTTCTGGAGCTGTGACATGACATAGTTCTCGGAATGGGCCCATTTAGTACCAAGCAAAGACTATAAACATGCTCACACTTCTAGATATATCTTCATGAAATCTCAGAGTAGTTAGAAAGAATATCCTAAAAGGTTCCAAAATGTGAAGGAAATTATTGCAAAATGAATGGAGTGAGATTGTCATCAGAACTTCCACCAGCAATTTGGATACAAAAAGATAGTAAAGCAATACATCCAAAATTTAAAAGTTATTCAAGTCAGAGGGCACAATAAGACAGTTTCAGGAATTCAAGGACTCAAAATTTACCTCTCCATAAGAAGTACCAAGGAATATACTCCAACAAAATGAAAAATAAATTTTACTTTTAAAAATTTCCATGGATTTAGGGGGTACAAGTGTTTTTTGTAGGTGGATGAATTTTATAATGCTGAAGTCAGAGCTTTTAATGTACCCGTCACCAGAATAGTGTACACTGTACCTGATAGGTAATTTTTTATCCCTCACCTTCCTTCTACCTTCCCCACTTCTTAGTTTCCAATGTTTCTTACACCACTTTATGAACATACATACCCATTGTTTAGCTCCCATTTGTAGGTCAGAGCATGGTATTTGTTTTTCCATTCCTGAGATACTTCACTTCGGATAATGGTCTCCAGTTCCATCCAAATTGTTGAACAAGAGATTATTTCATTCTCTTTTATGGCTGAGTAGTATTCTGTAGTATATATAGAGAGAGCACATTTTCTTAATCCACTCATCAATTGATGGACACTTGAGATTGAGTCCATATCTTTGCAATTGTGAATTGTGCTGTGATAAACATTTGGGTGCAGGTGTCTTTTTGTTAATAGCGAATTCTTTTCCTTTGGGTAGATTCCCAGTATTGAGATTGCTGAATAAATGGTAAGTTTACTTTTAGTTCTTTGAGGAGTCTCCATACTGTTTTCCATAGAGGTTGTACTAATTTACATTCTCACCAACAGCATATAAGTGTTCCCTTTTTACCGCATCTGTGTCAACATCTATTGTTTTTTAATTTAATAATGACCATTCTGACATTCGTAAGGTGATGTCTCAATGTGGTTTTAATTTGCATTTCCTTGATGATGATTTTTTTTTTTTTTTTTTTTACTCTGTTGCCTGGGCTAGAGTGCCGTGGCGTTAGCTTAGCTCAC